GAACACAAGCAGGCTTCCCGCCGAGCAGGGAGCCCGATGTGGGGCTCGATCCCAGGACCTTGGGATCATGAACTGAGCTGAAGGCAGACGCTTAACGACTGAGCCACCCAGGCACCCCAATGTTGTTCATTCTTTTGACAACTGTTTAGTGAGTAACAATAATGTGAAAACCAGACTGTACATTGATTGGGACCTTAATAATAGTATCATATTTTCCATCTGAAAGGCCTTTAAGCTCTCAATAATGGTATCCATGAAATAACAGGGATACTACTTCCTTTTTGGGGAGAATTCCCTAAAGCTACCCACATGTTCGCAGCAAAGACTTGAACGTGGGCTTTCTGCCTTCTAGTCTGGTGTTTTTACTACCCAGGCTTCTCAGAGGCAAAAACCAAAACTTTCCCATGGTTTAAGAAATTGTAAAGGAGGTAAACTTATGAATTAATTTTGAAAACTACCAAATATCTTTTTTTTCAGCCTAACAGCTCTGCTGTACACTAAACAGGGAAAAGAGAATGATATAAATAGTGAGAGGGAGGACGCCTGGGTGGCTTAGTCATCACGCGTCTGCCTTCAGCTCAGGTCATGGTCCCAGGGTCCTGGGATCGAGCCCCACATCAGGCTCCCTGCTCAGCGGGAGGCCTGCTTCTCCCTCTCCCACTCCTCCTGCTTGTGTTCCCTCTCTCACGGTGTCGCTCTCTGTCAAAGAAATAAAATCTTAAAAAAAAAACAAAAAACAAAAAAACAGCGAGAGGGAGAGGCACATCCTTAATCACCCTGAGAATAGCAATATAGTGAGGTGGTTTGAGGCAGTGCTTTGACTGTGACCACCCATTCTTTTTTTTTTTTTAAGATTTTATTTATTTATTTGACAGAGAGCGACAAAACGAGAGAAGGAACACAAGCAGGGGGAGCGGAAGAGGGAGAAGCAGGCTCCCCTCCGAGCAGGGAACCCGATGCAGGGCTCAATCCCAGGGCCCTGGGATCAAGACCTGAGCCGAAGGCAGGCGCCTAAGGACTGAGCCACCCAAGCGCCCTAACCACCCATTCTTAAAAGTTATGAAACCATCTTCAATATTACCATGGTTTGTATTTATCATCACCCAATAAAATATTATTCCTTAGAACTTAATTTTTCTCGTTAGAGAGAAAATATAATTTGAATTTGAATTTAAATTTGAATTTAATTTAAATTTAATATTTGGGGGGCAATAATGAAATGAAAAACATGAGAAACAGGGAGTCAGAAAACTTGGGTTCTAGTCTTGGATCTGCCACTGATTAGCCATGTGACCTTGGGCCAAGTTGCTTAACATCTGGAAGCCTTAGTTTTCTCGTTTGTATCACAAAGAACTTTTGGAAAAGAACGTTCAGCACAGTTTGGGGCACACAGCAAGAGCTCTATAAATGTTAGTGGCTATTCCCCTTGTCTTCTGGTTGGGAGAGCTGAAGAAAATATAAATAAAAGAAATAAAGAAATTGAGGGATAAGGGGACATCAGATCAGTATGATGCTGCACTGTAAGAAATTATGAACGAGTCCTCTGGCAGCAGCGCCCACAGATATGACTCCTGAGTATTCTTGATGCTGAAAACCTAAGTGAGGAACCCGTTTAATTCACTGGTCTAATTCCCTTATAAATTATGAAAATGGCAGGAAGAGGAGCACAGTAACTGGGCTTGCTTTGTTTGCAGGAGGATTTCTTTTTTTTTTTTAAATAAGATTTTATTTATTTATTTGAAAGAGAGAATGAGAGACAGAGACCACGAGAGGGAGGAGGGTCAGAGGGAGAAGCAGACTCCCCGCCGAGCAAGGAGCCCGATGTGGGACTCGATCCCGGGACTCCAGGATCGTGACCTGAGCCGAAGGCAGTCGCTTAACCGACTGAGCCACCCAGGCGCCCTGCAGGAGGATTTCTGCCTAGGAAAAAGGTCTGAAGGACTTAATCTACATGAAGATCTGTAAGGCTGAGAGGCTGGATCATGTCACTGGACTGCTTTGTGGTCCTTGGAAACTACTGCTGAGTAAATGTAAGCTAGATGCCATCTCAAGTATCCTCAGAACATTCCTATACGTATGAAGTAGACGGAGTGATGTCTAAAATAATTATCAGGAACGGAATGAAGCACAAAGATCCAAAGTATCAGTTCACGCACCACATGCAGACAAGTCAGACAGTAATTAACATTTATTAAGCACTCTGGTTACAAGCTTATTCCAGACAAGAACTCTAGCTACAACCATGTAGAAGTTAAAAAAAATGTTGTCCTTATGGACTCTGTAGCTAGTTTAAGACCTGTTCATATTTTTCTCATCATTGCTGTTGCCTTCCCATAGTTTCACTGCTTATAGATTATAAATAATTATAAAATACTTATTGTATACCAGACCTTATGGATGGCTTACAGGAGAAGCACCAAAATGTGGACCATGTTTATAATACATACTAGACACTATACCAAAAACTCAGGAAGAGAAATAAATAGTGAAACCAAGGTCCTTTCTCTAAAGGAGTGCAACCTAGCTGGTGGATCAGATAGATAAAGATATGCTTTGACACACAAAGATAAATGCAAATCAGAGTTCAGGATAGGATAATGTTTAAATCATCAACTGAAATGTCCCACTTCCTGGGGCTAGACAGGCTCCAAATACATAGACTGAGGGGGCTGGGTGTTTCTACTCAACATGGGCACATCCTACCAGAAGAACTTATGAAAGGATGACAAGGTGTAATAGGGACACCACTAGCTTTACTCAGACAATCTGCACTTGCCATTTATTAGCTGGGTAACAGACTGTAAAATGGGGATAACATGGGACACCTGGGTGGCTCAGTCGGTTAAGCGTCTGGTCATGATCCCAGGGTCCTGGGATGGAGTCCTACATTGGGCTCCTTGCTCAGCAGGGAGCCTGTTTCTCCCTCTGCCTGCCGCTCCCCCGCTTGTGCTCTGACAAATAAATAAAATCTTAAAAAAACCCCCAACAAAATGGGGATAACAATAATCCCTATTTAACAAAGTTATTGTGAAGAATAAAGGATGACATCTATATACTAGTCCGCACATGGGAACATTAAGAATCATGTATCATTTTTTAAAATTAATTAATTAATTAATATATTTTAAAGATTTTATTTATTTGATAGAGAAAGACACAGTGAGAGCAGGAACACAAGCAGGGGGAGTGAGAGAGGGAGAAGCAGGCTCCCCGCTGAGCAGGGAGCCCGATGCGGGGCTCGATCCCAGGACCCCGGGATCATGACCTGAGCTGAAGGCACACTTAACGACTGAGCCACCCAGGCAACCCTAAATTTTATTTATTTATTTGACAGAGACACACTGTGAGAGGGAACACAAGCAGGGGGAGTGGGAGAGGGAAAGCAGGCTTCCTGCAGAGCAGGGAGCCCGATTTGGGGCTTGATCCCAGGACCCCGGGATCATGACCTGAGCCGAAGGCAGTCGCTTAACGACTGAGCCACGCAGGTGCCCCCATTTTTTTCTTTTAAGATTTATTTGAGGGGCACCTGGTGGCTCATTCAGTTGAGCATCTGCCTTCAGCTCAGGTCATGAGCCTGGGATCCTAGGATCCAGCCCCTCCCTCTCATCAGGGAGCCTGCTTCTCCCTCTCCCTCTGCAGCTCCCCCTGCTGCATGCTTGCTCTCTGTCAAATAAATACAGTCTTAAAAAAAAAGAATTAAAAACAAAAGATTTATTTGACAGAGAGCACGCACCTGCGAGAGGGGGGAGGAGCAGGGGAGAGAGAATCCTCAAGCGGACTCCCTGCTGAGCACAGATCCTGACCGTGGCTTGATCCCAGAACCCTGAGATCATGACCTGAGCTGAAACCAAGAGTCAGCTGCTCAACCTACTGAGCCACCCAGGCATTCCTCATGTTATCTTTTGCCTTACCCTAGATTAGGTAACCAGGTACCTTCTATTAGCTTAGTGGTACTATTATGACACTTAAAAAAACTTTTTTTGGGGGGCGCTTGGGTGGCTCAGTTGGTTAAGTGTCTGCCTTCGGCTCAGGTCATGGTCCCAGAGTCCTGGGATCGAGTCCTACATCAGGCTCTTTGCTCAGCAGGGAGTCTGCTTCTCCCTCTTACTCAAATAAATAAATAAAATCGTAAAAAAAAAAAAAACAACCACAAAACTTTTTTTATGATTTTATTTATTCGTCAGAGAGAGAGCACAAGCAGGAGTGGCACAGCAGGCAGAGAAGCAGGCTTCCTGCCGAGCAAGGAGCCCAATGTGGGACTTGATCCCAGGACCCGAGCCGAAGGGAGACGCCTAACCGACTGAGCCACCCAGCCGACCGACACTTCTTTTTACTGTGTCATACATAAGAAGAAAACAAGCAAATTCATAGTCCCCATCCCCCTAAGAAGGTTCCTGTTTCCAACCTAAACAAAAACAGTAAAACTTGCTTTTGTTTTAGATCTACAAGCTCTCTATCCTGGCATTTGACTAAAGGAATTGAATAGCCACTGCCGCCACACGATGTCAAGGGGCAAAAACGTCACAAGACAGAATCACAATCCTGCAATATCAGACCAAAGGCATTCTTTAGCCAAAGTGGGAATCAACTTCAGTTGTCCCAAATTCAACTGTCACCACATCCACTCAAACAATCTTTAATGATAGTAAAGAAAATGACTGAGTAGCTATTACATACTATGCACTGTGCCAGGACTCACAAAGTGCAGGATGTTGTTTCTGAATTAAGAATAATCAGAGAGACATCAAAGGAGTAGAGAGGGCTCTCCAAATTGCTGACGTTGACAAAGTTTTGCTTCTGTTGCATTTTAGCCCTTGATGCAAAATAACTGCCTTTTATTGGACTACACCCACCTCACCTCATAGAACTTGAGGCAATTATAACCTACGTGCCTGGCTGAACATAGTAATCTCCACAGGCCATAGGAGTTTGCCGTGGTTGGCAAAGAGTTACTGAATAAAAGCGGCAAAGATCAGACGGAAAGCTTAGTATACACTCACATCCTTCTCCTGGATGGTGCACTCCTTACAATAATAGGCATCAGAGACTCCAGGGCCTCCACAGATCACACAGCGCCCCTGGTAAGAGCCATAATTACACTCATCGCAGATGCGCACCAGCGTGCAGGGACGCACGTAGGAGTCACAGATCACACATTTGCCATCACCTGCGAAGAAGAGAGAATGGAATTATGCCCACATGCAAGTACCTCCTTAAGTCTACTGCCCTCCTGCTATGGGGAAATACGGTAGTCTCCACCTGATTGTGACTTTAGGACCCTCTATTTTGGTTATCACAAAACTCAGCTAACCCAGCGTCCATCTCAATCCCTTCAACATGTAAATTAACCAACTAATATATAAAGAGGTTAGAACATCACCTCATAGACAAGAACTCTCTATCATTACCGGTAAAGAACTGTGTATGTGTGTTTTGGGGACGGGGTCAGGCCATCTCCTGGCCAAAGCTAGAGATTTTCTCAAAACGTAAACATAGGGACTCCTGGGTGGCTCAGTTGGTTAAGCAACTGCCTTCGGCTCAGGTCATGATCCCAGACTCCTGGGATCAAGTCCCGCATCAGGATCCTTGCTCAGCGGGGAGCCTGCTTCTCCCTCTGCCTGCCGCTCCCCCTGCTTGTGCTCTCTCTCTCTCTGACAAATAAATAAATAAAATCTTTAAAAACAAACAAACCCCCTAAACATAATGTTTAAAATGTGCAAGTTGGAGCGGGGAGATGGAGAGGGCTTTGGTTGCAGCCTAGGACTCAATGTTCACATTCTTCCAGGCACATCTACTCAAAACCCTCTTTGTGTTACTGCTGGAAATGCCCGTTTGCTGGCTTTACACAAACTTGTGAGGGGAAGGAGTGGGGTGTTCGGGAGGGCGTGTTCCACTCACATTTTTCACACAGTCTTCCGATGGCTGCAAGATCAAAGATGGTAAAGAGCACAGTTAGAATTGGTTTTGACGAAGATCCTCGAGTTTGGGGTGGCGACACAGCAGGGACTGCAGTGAGCCTTACGGGCTCTTATCCGTCTTACCTTCCTCGTAAGCTTCCGTGCAAAGCAAACCCACACCCTTCTGAGGCCGCTCCCAGGTCCTGGGCAATCTGAGCTTCCCCGGACCTCACTTCGGCCGCCCGCCTCTGGCTCCCAGCACGCGCGCCCCCGCCCTCTTTCCATCAGAGCCCACAAACCCGCGCGCTCCCACGCTACCAACCGTGAGGCGGGAAACGTGGCGCCTCCGAGGCAAAACCCTAAGGATGAGATGGGAGCCTCTGACCCCCCAGCTCCTAACACCATCCCCACCCAGACAGCTGGGAGCAGAAAGCTGCCTCACCAACACCAGCCTGCTTGCGGCAAAAGATCAAATCCGGATGATGTTTAGCCATAGTCCAAACGCTAGCCGGCCACCGGAAGCTTAAAGAACTTCCGCCCGACCTTTAGCCTCCATTTTCCAGCCTCCCGGTCGCTGTGATTGGTCCTCCAGGCTTCATCAAGACCGGTTCGCTCTCGCTCGCTCTGGCTCGCTATCGCGTGATCAAAACCTCAAGTTAAAAAGTAGGAGTTTCCGTCGTGGCTTGGGAGCCAGGTCCTGGCAGATGCATGGAAGTCATTAAAAAAATGCCTTTCCCAGATTTGGGTGGAAGAGACAACTGAAACTTGCCCTTCGATAACACATTTATGTGCCCGGTATTTACTTCCGCAAGTGTTTTTATGCAGCTCTTTTCCTTTCAGGCCTCCGTTTCTAACACGGAAGCTCCGCCCACTGCGCTCGCCGGGATCTGGCCCCTCAACGGAGGCTCCGCCTTCACCGTCATGCGTTTCTCTTTAGGCCCCGCCTCTGCCCCAAAGCTTTAAATGCGCGGTGGTTCACGTCATTTTCACGCGACCTCATCTTTGTCAGTGCACAAAATGGCGCCTTACAGCCTACTGGTGACCCGGCTGCAGGTGAGCGAGTTCGGGGCCCTCTGGGTTCATGAGGGCGGGGTGCCTCCTACTGTGCCTGCGGCTGTGGGCGAGGCAAGGCGAGGCGGGCCCGACCTCCCGCCGACTTTTCGTGTACCTGTCCGGACCGCGGGCCTAGCGCCGGTGCCGGCTCCTCCCGCGCCCGAGGTCAAGGCGTCCCGGCTCGGCTCTCCCGGTCCTGTCCCCGCCCCGTGGCAAGCGTAGGTCTAAGCAGTGGCTGTCAGGTGAAGAGTGGAGGCACCTCTTTCTGAGGACTGCACTCTCCTCTCTTGTAGGGTGTCTTTCCGTTCCTCAAGGTGAGGACAAGGTGACTGAGGGGGCGCGGTCATTGTGGAGCCCGCTAGGCCCAGAGTCTGAAGGCCTCATTTCTCATCTCTCGGCAGCAGAGTCCTGCCAGCCAGGTGCATCTACGATTGCCAGGCCTGGAGACTGTAGAAGAGTTTAGTACCCTGTTCCAATTTAAAAGGATCCTGTGGAACATATAGCCAAGAAAGCAAGGGGACTTTCCTGGCCCAGACGTAGTAAATAGTAACAATAACAGTAGTCTCTCATCTCTGCAAGATTGCAAGACTGTTCTAATTCCTCATCATATCATTTGATTATTCATATAATCATTTATTCTCATTGGATAGGTGACAAAACTGCTAGAAAGTAGGTGAAAGTTTGTGCTCTCTTGAGTGTCACCGAGGTGGTGTGGCCGGAGCATCTGCACTACTTACCCTTTTGTTCTTGTTCATGTCAGTCTGTCTTTTATGAGCCAGAGTGTGATCCTTGAGCTGACATTTGTATTTGTGAGAGTACTAGTATAGAGTATTTTGAGCTCAGTTGCTTTTCAGTTACTAGGTGGGAGGATAAAGAGACTCAACAGTTTGACCTTGACTGTCCTGTTATGAACCATCTATTAAATTGACTGTGACTGCCGGATGGTTTTCTTCAGTCCTAACTTAACAACACTAGGGAGGTTTTATATGTAAGGTTTCAATGTCAAGCATGTGTTTTTTTTTTTTTTTTTAAGATTTTATTTATTTATTTGACAGAGACAGCGAGAGAGGGAACACAAGCAGGGGGAGTGGGAGAGGGAGAAGTTGAGCAGGGAGCCTGAGGGGCATCAGACCAGGGACGTCAGACGCCGGGCTAGATCCCAGGATCCTGAGATCATGACCCGAGCGGAAGGCAGTCGCTTAACCGACTGAGCCCCCAGGCGCCCCAAGCATGTATTTTGTTAATAAAGCAAGCAATAAAGTAGACATTCTCTAACAACCTTTACATTTAACTTTGTGAATCTGTTTTGAATCAAGTGGCACAGCTTTGATTATAAAATTAAAGAAGTTATGTGCTATACTCTCAGGAAGCATTGTGTTACGAGGGTTTTGTTTTGTTTTTTTTAAATCACATTGCTTAAATTTAGACCATAGGGTTTAAAATGAAATTGGGGCGCCTGGGTGGCTCAGTCATTGAGCATCTGCCTTCCGCTCAGGTCGTGACCCCAGAGTCCTGGGATCGAGCCCCGCATCGGGCTCCCTGCTTGGCGGGAAGCCTGCTTCTCCCTCTCCCACTCCCCCAGCTTGTGTTCCCTCTCTCGCTGTGCCTCTCTTTGTCAAATAAATAAATAAAATCTTAAAAAAAAAAAAATTCTAAAGAGATAATTAGGGCAAACCCCTTATCTTTGCCCAGAATTGAGAGATCGTAAGTATTTAAGACAAATGATTTCATTTTTTTTTTAAGAAGATTTTATTTATTTATTTGACAGAGACATGGCGAGAGAGGGAACACAAGCAGGGGGAGTGGGAGAGGGAGAAGCAGGCTTCCCGCAGAGCAGGGAGCCTGATGCGGGGCTCAATCCCAGGACACTGGGATCATGACCTGAGCCTCAAGGCAGACACTTAGCGACTGAGCCACCCAGGTGCCCGTCTCTTTAGAATTCTTGATTTTCTAGGTTAATGATGTACAAAGAAAGGTAGTTGTTTTTTCCTGATCCTGCTGTCCCATGGTGTAGTGAAGTCAGGCAATATTATTTGATGTTAAATGATTACAGATTTAGTGATCTTTGAAGAGAGGACTAATATTACAGTATTTTTGAACTGAAAAAGGGTTTTGGAAAGCATTAGTGTTAGACTAGTACAGAAAGAGATCTGGGCCGTAGTTCATATTCTTTGCTGACCCTGTGACCTTGAGCAAATTACTTTTGAATTCTAGTTTCCTCATCTGTCAGTTTGGGATGATCTTCATTGATAAATGCTTATTGAGTACTTGGTAATAGGCTTCCATTCAGATTGTTATGAAGTGATAAGAAAATGGAATATATTTGTTTATGATCATCGTGTAGTCCAACTTCCTTTTTTATAGATGGATAATATAAGACCTTGGGAGCCTGGGTGACTTCCAGTAGCAGAGTGAGGATTAAAATCCAGGTATCCTTGTTTGTTCATTCAGTTAAGGTGAATGACTAGCAGTATACCACATTGCCTCCCAATAGCCAGGCTGTCTTAAGTAATGGCCAGCTAACACTGTGCTCTGAGAACCTTGTAAATTTACCTCTTTTGTGTTTAGCTAGATTTGAGAAGTGATGGTAGTACCTTAGTTGTCATGGCTGCAGAACCCTGTCCATGCGTTTCAGTTTATTCCTACCTCATTCACTGCATATTTATTGAATAATCACCACTTGCTTCGAATACAATGATGAGCAAAGCAGACAGTTCCCATTCTTGTGTAATTTGTACTATATTCTAATGTGTTTTACTGCAGAGGGCCTTGGAAGTCTTTCTCAGCCAAAATATTTTTCTTCTACCCTTGACTGGACCCAAGGTGAAGGTCAGTAATAGAATGATGACAATTACTACTGCCATGAAGAGTAGCTCACATTTACCTGGCTGTGTGCCAGTAATCCCACATGATCCTGTGAGATAAGGCAGACCTAGTGGCTCTAATAGACACACAGGATTAGAGAAGAAACACAGTATGAGGGTTAAGAACCTGGATTCTGGCATAACACTATCTTGACTTGAAAGCTGACTCTAATATTCCCTAGCTGTGACTGGGAAGATTACTTGACCTCTCTCTGCCGCGTCCCTCACCTGTAAGATATAGATAATGATAGTACATCTGGCCTATCTAATTATTGTATTATAGTTGCAAACTATTTAGAACCCTGCCTATACCTCGTAAGTGCTGTATAGTTAAGTATAATTAAATTAAGTAACATGAAATAAACTTGCCTAGGGCCTTGTCACTAGTCATTAGCAGGTGTGATTTGAATCTGTACCTTTTTGGTTCTGGAGTCTGAGGTCCTAGCACCTGCACTATACTGCTTCTCTTTGGCGTCAAGACTCAGCCTATCACCCAGGGTACAGTTAATGCTTCATAACCTGAGAACAGATCTCCTTAAGTTGAAAGTGTTCCACTGTTTAACAGTGCCTGCCATCAGCTTGTAAGGTTAGAAACAGGGAAAAAAAATGGTAGTCAACATTTTGAAAAGTCCCATTTTCTCTTTGGTATTTATTTTTTATTTGTGTGCACATGACTCTGGATGGTAGATAAAAGGGGTTGGGCACTTGCAAATATGTTTCTTAGGTCTTTGGTTTTGCCTTGAGGTACTGAGTTGCTGAGTTCTCATGTGACCTTGGGGAAGTCCTGTAACCTCACATGTAAATCTGAGATGGCCTTTAAGTACAAAGGAGTCTGACAAATTTGGCAGAAGTTCTCTGTGAAGTGCTATGTTAAAACAACAACCACCACCACCTTGGGAATTAGGAAACGGGTCATTCTGGTTGCATGTCACTGTACCGTCTCAGGTATCCTATAGTCAGCTGTTGACTGGAGTTGAGTAAATGAATGAATGATTGAATGGATGAGTAAACAAACTTCCAATCTAAAATTTGGGCAGAGGGAGTAGAGTCCTCATCTTGAGCACTAGGGGAGCAAATTGTTGCCGTTTGAACTAGCTGTTTCCAAAATGTTCATTGAATGCTTTACTATACGCCTAACACTGTTCTAGACCCTGTGAGTGCAACAGTAAACAAGAATAGTGGATCTTATATTGTAGTTCTGGGCAAACAAAATAAACAAGTAGACAACATTGTAGCTACTAAGTGCTATGAGGAAGGTAAAGTAGGATCCTGTGGTAGAGAGGGTAAGTGTGGGGACGTGACATGGCTTTAACTGGGGTGGTTGGGGACGGCCCTTCAGAAGAGGAGATATTTGAGCTGATACTTAATTGATAAGAAAGCAGCCCTTCAGTATTTTTTTTTAAATATTTTTATTTATTTATTTGAGAGCGAGCACGAGCAGGTGGGGGAAGGGGCAGAGGGAAAGGGAGAAGTAGACTCCCCACTGAGCAGGGAGCCCACTGTGGGGCTCAATCCCAGGACCCCGAGATCATGACCTGAGCTGAAGGCAGACACTTAACCGACTGAGCAACCCAGGCACCCCAGCCTTTCAATGTTTTGGGAGGAGAGATTTCAAGGAGGAGCAGCATGTGCAAAGCACCTGATGTAGGTGTGAGCTTAGTGTGTTGAAGATAAGAAATAAGGCCCCACTGGTTTAGTTGGTGGAGTGTGTAACTCTTGATCTCAGGGTTGTGGTTTCAAGCCCCATGCTGGGTGGAGAGATTACTTTAAAATAAAATCTTTTTTTCCCCCCAAATATTTTATTTACTTGACAGACAGAGAGAATGCACAAGCGGGGGAGTGGGAGGGAGAGGGAGAAGCAGGCTCCCCGCTGAGCAGGGAGCCTGATGTGGGGCTCGATCCTGGGACCCTGGGATCATGACCTGAGCTGAAG